CCTGGATTGTTACTAGAGATAGCAGTCTGACTTCCCACAAACCTGACATGGCAGGCTGGCTTCCTAGTCTGGTTATTGCAGATAGGGGCTGGTTTCCTGAGCAGGTTGCTGCATTTGTGGGACAGAGTTATGTTATCATCTGGCTATTGCCTATTTATATAGTTAGTCTCTCCCATCAACATATACATGGTACATGCAGGGAAAGGGAAGTAATATTGGTTTTCTTAAAGAGCTACTGTCAACTTTTCTTTTTTATCAATTAAGATTCCCTACAATAGGGGCGCCTGGGTGGCTCAGTCGTTAAGCGTCTGCCTTCGGCTCAGGTCATGATCCCAGGGTCCTGGGATCGAGCCCCACATCAGGCTCCCTGCTCTGTGGGGAGGCTTGCTTCTCCCTCTCCTACTGCCCCTGCTTATGTTCCCTCTCTCGCTATGTCTCTCTCTGTCAAATAAATAAATAAAATCTTTAAAAAATTAAAAAAAAATTTTATAAAAAAACAATAAAGATTCCCTACAATAAAGTATACTGAAGGGCAAGGTTAGAAACTACTCTGATTTCTCAATCTCTCTCTCTTTTTTAAAGAGCCTTCCACATACTGGACACTTCGGGAAGTCTGGGACCTGGTCCCTCTTATCTATTCTTCTGTCCAGGGCTTCTTGTAGGTTGAATGAGGACCTAGCAATTTCTGGGTTGTTGCGTTAGAGTTCTCCATATAGTACAATATGAAGAAATGCAATAATAGTAATAAAAACTTATACCCAACAATCTGACATATACACGCATGCAGTTATGATCATTATGCTGTTCATAATTAAATTACAAGATTATAAAAAAAAAGTAACTCATGGTGTGCCACAAGCTGTGTAGTAGTATAAAGGACCCAAGCTTAAATCTAAGCAAAAACATTGTTTGGCCCCTCCAGGGAATGAGAGTGGGCACGTGGCCTTGGAGCATCCTCTGGGAGGACACGTGGGAGACACTAAACATCACTGTCTGCAGGAATCCAAGGTTCTACGTACATGTGGCCATTTATGCAGAATCTGTAAATGTAGTTGGTAGCTCCATTTCCATAGGAAAGAACAAAAATTTGTCAAATTAAAAATAAGCATGATATGCGATTTTATTTGTAAATTAAGGACTGAAGTCTGGCTTATAGATTTACTATTTTCAATGGAATGTGTTTCCAAGCTTACAAATCATTAGCAAACCCAGGATATTTGTGAGACACTGCTTTAATTAGGCTTCAGAATTCCAATACCCTGAAATACAAAGGTACATTGGCAGTTTCAGATTAGCATGGAATTTCTGTTTGGGCAACTCAAATGGTTTGCTTCTCTCCTGACATTATAGCTTCTGTAAGGGAAACAACATTTGTAGCCGCATGTAAATGGAAAAGTATTGTTTTTCAGAACTCCTTTGGACTGGGTCATGCAGTAGTTTAATGAATAACATGATTTCATATTTAGAAGCTGTGATCATTGCAATTAGTGGAAGTGGTCTCTGTCTACATTAAAGGAGATGTATATTCTTTGTCATATTTGGCTGTCTCTGGATAAGAGGGTGCCAGGAATGAAATAACAGAAGGTTGTGAATTATGACAGAAGGATGCCAAGAGATCTGGGGAAACTTTAGGTCTGCCTGTACTGGATTTTTTGTTAGCACAACGTGGGCCTGTGAGTCTTTTTTTAAAAAAACATGTGCTTCAGCTCCCTCCCATGAAGAAATAACAAAGTAATTATTTCCTACAGCAGAATAATGGTTGAAACATCTATGTGGGACACTTTAGAAGTTCATATGTGCTCCTCAGAGGTCAAGAAAGCAATATTTATTTAAACTTTGAACCTTTGAACTTGCGTTATCTTTAAGCAATTCAGAATAATTATTCAATATCCTAAAAGAGCAGGTTATTTAACAGCAACCCTTAAAAGGTAAATATCTAAGATTATCAGCCTAGCCAGTGATTACTGTAACTTTTTAATCATCTCCCTCCCTAGCATCGTTAATTTCTCCTTCTCCACAAATACCTTCTCTTCTGTTCTCACATGTACATAAAACTTCTTTTTCCGTTAAAAATTATATGGGGCAGAACAGGCTGGGTTACCGACCACCCCAGTCCCAGGGAAGGTGGGGCCCTGCCCTTAGGATGCTGCAGCAGAGTTGGGGGGTGCTGTATTGGCCATCGAGGGTGTAGGGCCACCTTCTCCCCCCTGTTCTGCTGGGGAGGCGGGAGCCATTATTTGTCCCAGCCTGGGCCCCCCCCAATCTGGTTTCCTATTTGCAGTTACTTGAATAAAAAAAAATACCTTTTCTGAAAAGAAAAATTATATGTACTCGGATGATCCTATGTATTCACATATATCTCATCTGACCTGTTGCTTCCCCTGTGTACCAGCTCACTTACCTCTTTCCAGTGCCAAATAGCTTGAACATGGGATTTATATGTATTGTCACATTTCCTCTCACCCCATTCCCTGCTTAACTTTCAGACTTCCTTCCTCAGTTAGGTATAGAAATGACTCAAAGATCATCCAGATCTTCTTCGAGGAAATCTAATGGGCTCTGCATCCAGTCTCACTGCTGGCCCATTTGGTACTCTCTGCAGACTCCTTGAACCCTGACGTCCCTTGACTTCTACAATACTGCACTAGGCTTGTTGACCCTCCTCTTAACACTATTTCCCTCCATTGACATTTCTTTCTGTTCATAAACCTCTGGAGTTCTGTTCTTGCCAGGTCATATTTGAGGCTTACCTAGAAAAAAATGACCCACAGAAGTAAAACAATTCAATGGCATCTTGCATAGCTTAAGATCCAAAGTGAGGCCTTCTTCTAAGAGCAGCACATTGAGGAGATGTCTGTAGGGCTCAGGGCTTGGTTCATCTCAACCCAGGGTCAAGTCTCCAAGACCCGGGAGACAGGAAAATGAACCAAAAGTCCTTTAGTCACCTCCTTAAAGCAAGCAGGCTGGTCTCTTGGTTTAGTATGGTGACTTGGCACATTTTGTTTTACTCAAGAATTATATGAGACTCAGGGCGCCTGGGTGCTCTATTGTTAAGCATCTGCCTTCGGCTTAGGTCATGATCCCAGGGTCCTGGGATCGAGCCCCACATCAGGCTCCCTGCTCAGCGGGAGGCCTGCTTCTCCCTCTCCTACACCCCTCTGCTTGTGTTCCCTCTCTTGCTGTCTCTCTGTCAAATAAATAAATAAAATCTTAAAAAAAAAGAATTACATGAGACTCAACAGAAACTAGAATGCTCCATGTATAGCTATGATAAACCAGAGTATCTGGCTGGGCCATTGCTTCTACAAATTTAGGAATGTCTTTACTATCCATGAACATTTTACCAAATGTTCTTGTCAATCAATAGACAAAATGATGTAACAAAACAGTATTCTTTAAATTACCTATGATAGCTAGAGATCCACTTTTGTGCTGATAGTCTGCTGATAATACTCAAGGTTTTTTTCTTATGTTTAAGAAATATCAAGCTGTCTTTCTTCCATGTCTGCTTGTGCATAACACAACTCTGCACCTGGGTGTTTTCTTACTTCTTAAAAACACTTGAAAAAAAAAAAGAATGAAAAGACAAGCCACAGATTTGGAGAAAATACTTGCAAAACACATATCTGATAAAGGACTGGTATATAAAATGTAAATGAAATCTCTTAAAACTCAACAATAAGAAAACAAACAGTTCAATTAAAAATGGGCAAAAGATCTGAACGACACCTTACCAAAAAAAAATATACATCTGACAAATAAGCATATGAAAAAGATGCTTTTATTATGGAATTGCAGATGAAAACAACCATGAGATTTAATTACATACCTATTAGAATGGCTAAAATCCTACACACCAACAACACCAAATGCCGACAAAGATGTGGTACAATGAATGAGGAACTCTCATTCATTGCTGGTGGGAATGCAAAATAGCACAGCTCCCATGGAAGATAGTTGGGTAGTTTCTTTCAAAGCTAAAACCAGGCTTACCATGTGACCCAATGATCATGTTCTTAGGTATTTGTGAATTGGAAACTTACGTCTACATAAAAACTTGCACATAGGTATTTATGGCTGCCTTATTTGTAATTGCCAAAAATTGGAAGTAATCAAACTATCCTTCAATAGGGGAATGGATAAACAAACTGTGGTATATCCATACAATGGAATATTATTCCAAAAAGAAATGAGCCATTGAACCAAAAAAGATATGATGGAACTTAAAGGCATATTGTTAAGTGAAATAAGACTGTCTGAAAAGGCTAGGTACAATGATTCCTACTATATGACTCCAACTATATGACATTCTGGAAAAGGCAAAACTATAGAGACTTTTAATAAAGATCAGTGATTACTGGAGGCTCAGGGGAAGGGGAGGGATGAATTGGTAAAGCACAGGGGATTTTTAAGGCAGTAAGACTTCTCTGTGTGATACTCTAATGTTGAATATATGACATTACGCATTTGTTCAAACCCATAGAATGTACAATACAAAGAGAGAGCCCTAATGTAAACTATGGACTTTGGTTGGTAATCATGTATCGATGTTGGCTCAATTTTTCTTTAAACCTAAAACTGCTCAAAATTTTTAGAAAAATCTTAATACAATGGCTTTTTGTTCTACACACACAAAAATAATGGTAACACTGAAAATTCTGTGTACAGCTAGAACAAACTTGTGTTCAGACATGGGAACTAAGGTGCGGGGTCATATCCACAGCTGGTTGTGATGTTTTTGTCACACACTGAATTTGATCATCCAAAGTCAGAGTCAATTAACTGCTAGGTCCTTGTTCTTCTTCATGTGTGACATTCATTTGTCTCAGTTGTAGAAACATTTTAAGTAAAGGGCAAACTACATGATAACTTCCAATAAACAGCTAAATGTTTGATGACTAAATATAAAACAATAAAAAAAATAGGGTGCTAAGACACCACTGTCACTGTCCCGGAAATGTCTCACCAAATATTTGAATGATTTTCTCCTCTTCTTGCAGGCCTTGCAATTGCCAGTGCCCTAATAGATATTTCACAACAGAAGCCTTCAGATAGTAAAGACAAGACTTCAGGAGTCCGAAATCGAAAACACCACCTTTCAACACGTCAAGGAACTTGTGTCTGAGAAACAGAAACTGCTCCTGGATATTCTGAAATGTTTTGATTTTGTAAATGGCTTCCATTAAGGCTGGTCTATGGCCTCAGTTTTTATGGAGGCAAATCTCTGTATGGTCCCAGGGCTCAAGTACAGTTCCCTCCAAAAGGGCAATGACCCGAGTGGCCAGAGAATGTTCGTGACTTTTATGAAAGTAACAGTATTGATGGTCATGGGTGATAAAGTCAGTTTTTACGACTCTCTTAGGCTTATCATAGATAACATTAAATTACGCTGGAAAAAGATGTATATTGTTTCTTAATGCAGATGAAAATATGTAATTCATATAAACCCAACTGTTTATATCCCAAGACTTTAAAGAAAGACATTTTATAATGCCTGGATGATGAGAATTGTACAGTTTTTGCCTCATAAGCAAACTTAAATCACTTGTATATGAACAGAAAATGAACAAATTGCAATGGCTTTAAATGTTGTTTTATCTCACTGTAAATATAAAAGCAAGATTTGGGTTTAGTGGGATGTAAGGTAGTGTATTTAAATATTCCACATGACCATATCGTGTCCACACTCAGTTTGAGAATGTGACTATTTTCCACCTAACTGGAATGCAGACCAAAATGAGTCCATTTGGATGGATGGTATGTGCAACTTCACAGGAGGTTTATTAGAATTCTGAGTGAAAAGGACGTTCCTGTCATCCTTGCCAACTGCCTAACTCATTATCAGAGCTGATAGAGCATGGAAAAACCTGTCCAGCAATCAATTTTTCCCCTCCTTCCAAAAACCCTCCAATACCAAACCTGAAGAGAGCTGAAATGGTTATTTTACTGTGTGCAAGCTTCAGCTCTACTGTGGTAATTTTTTTAATTGCCTAGGAATCATTGGATCAGACCTAAATGACCCATCTGCATTTTTGTAAGAACAGACCATCTTCTGTTGGCCTTCCTCTCCTAGCTGCTAGATTTTTATCTACCTTTTACAAATATCATGAGAAGTATTTTAGAGGTGACACCTCCCAAGTTTTAATATGATCCAGGTTCCTTCTTGCCAACTATCCACTTAGAATACAAGTAGAGAAGAGCTGGCAAGGGTCTATAGTATTCTTATTTCTAACCTGAACACGTTGATGTCACAAGAGTAAGTCTTCAGTTTAAAAAATAAGTTGATCGTTGCCTACATTGAGCATATTCTTAACGATTCACGAATCTGAATCATGGCAGAAAGGAGAAATGATTTAAAAGAGCTTTCACATTGGGACATAGAATCCTGTGTGGCCTCATTTTGACAACAGTTCCCTAGAACTCAGTAGCATTAACAGATCTTGTTTGAAACTCTTTCTTCCCTTCAGGGTGACTACAGGATATATGTAGAAAGCAGTGACAGAAATATCCCAAGCTGCCTCCTACAATACAGCTTCATTCACTATGAAAGTCATTTAAATATAATTGATGTTTAGTACTATCTATGTACTTTTCATGGTTCTTTGGATTTCTGGAAGGTAATGACACTTTACTGTTTACAGCTAATGCATAGTTCCTTGCATGGTGTGATCGTGCAGTAGCGGAATATGACCCTATTGTGATATTCAATGTTATTTCATGATGCCATTTATACATAGTCAGCTTCATTTGATGAGGATTGAATGTACTATATAACAGGAATGATCATACAATAGGTAGTTGCATCATATATAAGATTGCTAGGTTGCATCAAGCCATGACTATCATTGTTTTGATAATTAGGCACTTGTTAACTATAGTATATATTCCTTATGTTGGCATGATCATTTTCCTATTTTCTATGCATTAAAAATAAGACTAATTCTTAGAATAATTTTATCTATAGCCTGTGGGTTTTTTGGGAGAGGGAGCGGGAGTGGAGCTGGTTGTTTTTGCCTCCCTGTGATATTATACCTCTCAAAAAAAAAAAAAAAACAGTGAGCAAAGTTTGTAAATGTCTCCTAAAAACAAGTAATTTTATTAGCTTCTTTTTGGACCCTTTAAATGTTGATTTTTCTCCTGGAGAAATAAATTGACAAAACTGGTGACTACAAAAATATAATCATTTAAAAATAAAATGATTGCCCTATTTGTTTTAATTGTCTAACGTTTGTCATGAGAGAAGGGTTATATAACAAAAACACAAAAGCGTACAGAATTGTAGGTAAAATCCATTTCAGCCATCCTTTTGGAGAGGCCAAGCAAACAGTATTACTCTGAAAAAATTGCCAAGCTTCATCCACCTCGAATCCCGCTGGGTTCCTAACACTTGAAAATTTGAATTTTAGAGAATTGCAGGACATCATGCAATGTGAAGTTAAAGTCATACTACATCTTTCCGGGCCAAATACTGCTAACTCAGTGACTAATTATGCAACATCTTCTCAACTTAGCAAAGCTTTTTACTGGCAATAAAATTCTTCACCCTCGGTTGAAATGGATTGAAAAGACCTTAGGGATTATCACTTTGACTCTGTGTCACATTCTTTTTGTCCCCATATCCAAAACACTTTAAATTTAGATGCTCCTTTTTTTTTTAACTTTTTAAAATCAATCCACAAATATATGCAGTACTCTTCCAGAAGTATACAGTTAAATGACTGATTCTCTTGAAAACTTTATCTTAATGGAATTCTGTACCTTTCAGTTTAGGATAACTTTGAAAAGTCCTTTAGATTTTAGGATTTCTTATTCTTCCAAGAATGAAAAGTTTTGTTAAATAGAATGGAGTTTTAAAAATGTACCTGAGGGGGGCTCCTGGGTGGCTCCGTTGGTTAGGCATCCGACTCTTGGTTTCAGCTCAGGTTATGATCTCAGGGTCGTGAGATTGAGCCCTTGTCCAGCTCCATGCTCAGTGCGGATTCTGCTTGAGGTTCTCTCTCCCTCCGCCCCTCTCGTTCGTGCTCTCTCTGAAATAAATAAATAAATTTAAAAATTTACCTATGGACAATATTTGGGCAACTAGAGAATTCTTGTTGAAAGGGATGCACATACTTACAGATCAATTTAATAAATTTTAAGAGGATTGGGATTTTCATAATTGCTTTTAAGTGGAAATTTATTTTAGTGATATACATAGAAGGAGAGAGTATGCCACATACTATTGTTTATGCTCAGCAGGAAAACTTCAACTAGGACATATTTCAATGTGGAATCAATTCTTTTTAAATAATTTTTTATTGTTATGTTAATCACCATACATTACATCATTAGTTTTTGATG